CCTCAACTGACAAATGGATAATGAAAATGTGGTTCATTTATATGATGGAGTTTTACTCAGCAGTAAAGAGAGATGAAATCATGAAATTTGCAGGAAATGGATGGAACTAGAAACTATTATACTAAGTGAAGTAACACAGACTCAAAAAAAATCCAGCATATGTTCTCCCTCATATGTGGATCCTAGAACCGCACCCTGATAAGTGATTATGTATCCAGACATAACTACAGGAACCAGGACAATGGAAAGGAAACAGGGAGGTAAAGGAAAAGAAATAACCTGAAAGAGAAGAACAGTAGGAAACAGGCCTTAATAAGGAAGATATGGATAAAAATTGGGCTTGTTTAAGGGAGAGGGGAGGGAAGGGTATACAAGGGACCTAGGGGATAAAGAGAAAGAAGGAGCTCAAGAGAGGTAGGACCATAGGAGAAGGGTATTATTAAGGGACAAAGGGGGGAAATGGGGGTACCTTAAGTGGGAAAACCATGATGGAGGGGTGAGAGAATATGAGAGATAAAGAATGCCTAGTTTTAAAAACCAGAGGGAACCACATTACTCCAACAACCTATTGACAAATTATACATAGCAAATCAAGAAATATATGTCTAGGTAAGGTTTATCTGAGAACAACTAGTTGCCCAAGATTTATCTACATGATACACAGTAATTAAAAGTACCAGACTGGTAGAACTAACCATCTTGGATTTTTGACAGATATACTTTGAGGCCTATACTAATTTGGTCAGAGGGACATAAAGGACAGTCTTTGCTCCTTGCCCTCCTAGGTCGACTAGCTCCAGGGGAGTATGAGTATCTCTCAAAATGTCCTGTAATTGTGGTGAGTCACCTATCCTCTTGATCAAGGAGGCCAAGGAGACCCCACCAGATGGACTTGAACCAGTGTCCAGTCTACAAAAAGGAGGGTCAACACAGAGGAATCATTTCCTCCATGCTTTCAAGTGAAGCCAACCATGGTCAAGCAGGACCTTTGACTTATCTTCACATAGGAGGAGCTGGTAAAAGAAAGGAGCCAGGGGCTCCTCCCAAGCCTGTGTGACCCCTGAGGAAGAGATCCTCAAACTACCTTAAGAGTAAAAATAACTTGGTTTATCTGAGCCAACTCTCTGGCCTTAAATACCCAAAAGGAAAATATAACCAAAGATTAAAGGGGCCAATATAGTTTTTAAGAGTCCATATGCATAGCTAAAGGCTACATAACAAGCAACAATTCCAGATAGGAGATACCTTCTTTTGAGTTGTTGGCCAGGGTGGCCAAAGGGACTCCCAAATAGTAACCCAGAATAGAACTGGGAAAATGAA